TGTAGCAGCCGACTGGAACCTTTCTCCAGACAGTATTATGCGTTCGGGATGGCTTGAGCGTGTTGGTGGCCAGATCGTGTGCTCTGATGCGCAGTACACATGCACACCAGGTGGAGGTAAAACGCCCAGCCATCTTGATTTTCTCATTGTGAGCCATGCTGCACGCGCATATGTACGCCACGTGTTGCCAGTTGTCGCCGTGCCATGGAAACCTCACATCGGTCTCAGCATCGAACTCGTCTCAGAAGGTGCACAATTGTACACTAGGTATCTTGACCTTCCTGCTCAGCTTCCGTTTGTCTGTAAGCCCCTCCGTCTGGCGACCCCAGGGTCCAAGGCCAGCGTGGCCAAAGCCAAGAGGGCGTTTTCAAGGTTGGAGGCCAAGCAGGTTCGGGACGAGCGTTTCAAATCTTGGTTTGGTCAAGGGCTCGGGCCCGAGGAGAAGGAGGCGGAAGATAATCGCGGTTCAGGGTCTGGTCTCGATCCCTCCTCGCTTGCTCCCCTTTCGGCCCTCAGCGACGCGGACACCAACTTCTGTGAAGGAGGTGAACCCGACTGCTCAGGCGACGACTGGGAGGGCTGCTCGGAGGACGACCCGTGGGCGGACGAGACCGTTTTCAGACCCGCCGCGCCGCCCCCCTCTGCCGCCCCTGATCCGCGTCACACAGTCGGACAGCCAGTGGAAATTAATTCGGCCCCGGTCCCCGAACCCAGCCGCTCAGGGGTCGTCTTCCGAGGAGCCGTCCGATGCGCAAGCGTGGCAACCTGATTTTCACATTCCCAGCAGCACTTGGATTGAGCAGAGGTCGAGCGTCGGGTTCACTCCTGTCTCTTCGTGCCCTCCCGCTCCTTCCATTGCTGGCACCATAGCCTACCACCTCGGCTCAAGCGATTCGGCTGTGTTGAGCGCCCTGCACGCCAGTTGGATTCACACAGTCGAGGTTTCCATATACACTCATCATAAGCAGGCTTTCACTGGAGCGTCCCGCAGTGTGGCACCTCAGTTTCAAGTATCGACTGTTCGTCAAGGCACTCCGTCACGCATAACACCACTACGAGACCGAGTCTGCAGTTGGTGGACGCGTGCCAGTACAGTCATTAGCAGTATCACACGACACCTCCGACGGGCAGGAGGTCAGAAGCAGCTAAATATCCTTGTCGACTCAGGCCGACGACTATTGGAGGACGTCCCCGAGAGAGCTGCAGAGATCATTCGACACACAGACAGCTCCTCTTGGGATTATTGGCATCACCTCCTTGGTCATTTGCGCAGTAGCACGCTGGCCACCTTGGACGTCAGCTCCCAGGCCATCGAGAAGCTAGCGGCTCGCAGTCAACGACGTGCTATTGGGCAGGCCATGGGATAGTTCAGAGAATGGGCCGAGACGGCACCAGCACTAGGCATTCTCCATAAAAAGTTGAAGGAACCGATGCCAGAGGCTAAAGAAGTTGTAGTTGACGGCAAACCGATTTTACATCCAAAGGACGTCTTGGATCACAAGAGTCATGAGTGGGAGAAGATCTGGGCACCATCATTCTTATCAGCCAACGGGTCCAGCATCGAGATCGAGGGCTTAGAGCAGTTGTTTGATGACATTCGAGAACGGGTGAGGTACGAGTCCCTGCCCCCGCTGACAGTCACCGACTTGCGAGAAGCCTTGAAGTCCATCAAGGCATCGGCGGCGATGGGGGTGGATCGCCTCAGCTCGAACGACTTGCTTCGCCTACCCGATGAGGCCTTGCAGGAGCTGTCGACCTTGCCCAGTGCGTGCGAGGCCACGCAGTCCTGGCCACACCAAATCTTGCTCACCATCGGAACTCTTCTTCCAAAGAAGGTGAAAGGAGACAGAATTATAGGACTGCTACCACACCTGTCAAGGGTGTGGTCGCAGGCACGGGAACCATATGTGAAGCAGTGGACCTCTGAATGCGAAGCTCATTGGGACGCAGCCATCAGAGGAAATTCAGCAGTGAGAGAAGTTTTCTTGCGAGCTATCGACGAAGAGCTCGCAGCTCGGCTACATGTTCAGCTGGGCAACGGCCTGCTTGATATCAGCCAGTTCTACGACACCATAGGATGGCTGATGGTGGGCAGAGCGGCTATGAGGCTTGACTTCCCAGCCGAGGTGCTGGGGCTGGAGTTGACGCAGTGCATGGCGGCAAGGTGGTTGAGGCAATCTGGTGCATATTCGGAGCCATTCGCTCCACTTCGTTCAGTTGTTCAAGGCCTCCGAGGAGGCACTAGAATTGCTAAGTGCGCGACGTGCCACATCATGCATCGGCTCACGACGGTGCGCGTGGGCATGGCGCAGCGGCTGTGGCTGGATGACCTCAGCCAGTCAGTCAAGAGCACTCGGGAGACGATGCGCAACAAGCTGGTGAGGTGCCTTGTCGACACCTGCCGCTCGATGAAGCGAGCGGGGCTGGCCATCTCCCCCAAGAGCGCGGTCGTCTGCGCGAAGCTGGATGACGCCAAAATCATTGCCAGGCGAGTGCGTGCCCACGGATTTCAGGTTCGTGCTGTTCCCCAGGCGCCGTACTTGGGGGCCGACCTGGGGGGGGGATCTCGACATGCTCGTGCGTGC